CTTTGCTTACCAGGTAAACAAACATTTTTTACACATGATAAATGCATTGCACCGGCCAACATGCCTATCGAACATGATGTGGAGTCTTGTGCAAATTTCAATCACTCTGGTTCCCCAGTAAATGTTAATAGCATTAAGATAAATATATTAAATACTTGACTTGTAAGACGATTTCAAACATTATCGATAATTATCAAGCATGATACTGGGTATGTATACTTATGCACATTAAAGCAAAAATCAGTGTGGTTCAACAGTTATTGAATTAAATGGGCAAAAATAAAGAAAGTCAGAGATAATGTCGCCGATGATATTATAAATATAGTTGACGTTAGTTGTGTTCATAAACATGTGACACGCATTTGACGGCAGATTCTTATCGATAAAATTTTATGCCAGCTGTACATTTGATAAATTTCCAATTAATAAATCAACTAATACAAAATGTTTCACGCCGTTTACTTTGCACTGTTGAGCTGGATAGATTTCTGCTGTAAATGCATTCACAACAAAGTCAGCTGAACTTTTCGTGTTCATGAAAATAAAGTGTATGATGTGAAATGTTCTCTCTATAACTGTCTAAGGCACATGTATAAAAAGTCAATAATACAAAATTCTTTTAAATTAGCACCATTTAAATTCAAAATGTACATAACAATTCATTGGCAGTAGTGGAAACATACATGAATAAGTAGTTGCTATGGCAATGACAGATAATAAGCAGTTCTATTTTAATCATCAGGGAAATTAAGAAAATTTGGTAGTAGTTATTTACGCTTCAAAATATAAAATTACAAACATTCCTGTTGATGCTTTCAATGGTTTACAGTATACTAGTGACCTGGTGGATTAATAAGGTTAATATTAATAAAATATACACTTTGTTAAACCAGGCTTCATACATGAGTAAACAAAGTAGAGAACAAGGCAATTCAAGAACTCAACCTTGCATTGGTGAATCATGGGATATGCAACACCTTCACATAAGCATCTCTCATTTTGAACACTGGCATGTCACCCACTGAAGAGAAAGAGTAACTTGATTGGCCTGATATTAAATTAAGTATTGAATTTTGACTTGACAACTTAAGAAAACATATCCTCCTTTATTTTGGCTGAATGCAGATGACTAATGGCAGTTGTTAGTGATGGTAAGAATTTACTGAGAGTGACTATAAAGAAGTCTCTAAGTCTTCTTTCCAGGATTATCAGCTTATTTTCTTATTGTTAATCCCAACGTCAGTGATTTATTTTGATGATATCGGTATTACCATTATGTTGGGTAGCAAATGATGCATATCATACCGGGGAGACACCGTCTGTGGAAAATATGCCCTGAAAGCCAATGAGAGAATTAACAATTATACAAAGTCATTGTCAATAATTTTTAAAATAGAGTATTTCTCATTTCTCAATTCTGGAAATGCAAATACTTTGGAGGTGCTTTGTAAGAGAGCTGCTGTCAACACAGTCTTCACTGCTTTCTCAAGAAATGGCCCAAAACAAAGACTATATATTATAAATTTCCTAATTATTAAAATGGCTGACAGTCATCTTTTATACAGCAAAAATGATAATATTTAATGAGTAACAATGGATTTCAAAAACCAGACTTGGCCAATAAAAAGTGCGAAATAAATGCACTAAAATAAAAAAAAAACAAGATGGCCACCTAGTCAGGACTTGCCACTCAACAAAAATGCAAATATTTTAAACACAGTAAAAAAACTTACCACATTTTGCCACCAAAACAGAGGAATCCATCTGATGGATGGGATTTGATAAGGAAACCCCACAGATTACACAATCCCTATAATGAAACATAGCATAACTATTGGTACCTTGCCCCTGGAGCAGAGTGAAAATTTCAGACTGCGAACATTTAACAAATTTAAAGAATTCATATTACGCAGATTCTGACCTGTCAATCTTTGATGATATTCCCCAATGGATGTCAGTTTCTTCCATCGTTAATTGTAAACTGTCACAATTAGCCTTTGTCTGTGGAACAAATAAAAACAATCAGATAAACTCAGTTTAAGATTAAATAAATACTGCGCCAAGGTGGGAGTACGGGTGGTGGTGGTGTTCATAAAAGGATCAGATGCTTAGCCCAGAGGCTGAGGATTTGTTCTACAATAAACAACAAAAATTACAACCAATTATACCATTTTGACCACATTTCAATAACCTGAAACAATGCCACCAATTTACAAAATAGGGGTGAACTCCTCAACCACCAGTTACATTATTAATCTCATAAAAATAAATTTCTGATTTCAGTGATCCATATTTTTGATATTGATAAAATAATTCTGAAGTATGTTTTTTGTATAGTTTTTCATCTTACAAAGCACAGCAATTTCAGCAAGATACAGTGATCCGCACATGTGGGTTACTCTTGTTTTACCTTGGCATACACAATTCCCTCACCACATAGTCCAAACAAACAATTTTTTACAGCTGTGTCTGTCTTCTCAAGCTTTCAAAGTATGTATGTATACAAACACAAATTGAGTAACTATGGGCGAGTTAGGGACGACGTCAAAAGATCGATGTTGGATAAAAAACTTGTTTGCTTTAGTTTGGGGTGGGGGGTGGGGGTGGGGGGTTTGACCTCAAAAAGTTTCCATCCTACAAAAACGATTTTATTTTTCAATGAAGTAAAAAAAATCTTGGAGTATTTGTAGTTCGTTTTTTTTCTATCCAATCATGGACAGAAATAACAGAAAATGAAAAAAAAAAAACATCCAAGACGAGAAAATGGTTTGGTTCGAGTGTAAATATGTGCGTCAAATGAGGTGCATTTGTAAAGTCTTTTTACACCCACCTGACAATCAACTGCTATGCCATACTACTGTCCGGTTATCAATTTGTATTTAATGGTCACGTGAATGTAGTCTGACGCCATGACCAATATTTATCAATTAAGTTTCAGTGGGGGTGGGGGTGGGGGGTGGCGGGTTTGAAAAAAACTAAAGGAATTAAGTTTTTCATCCGACATAAAAAATAAAAAATGATTATGAAGATTTTTCTGGAAGCTTACAAAGTTATTATTTAATTATGCTCTAGAATATAAACTTACCAAATCATGCATTTGGCCTACCGAGGGCGCTATGCTTTGCCTCATTTCTTTCATGGCACTGTACATAAGACTGGAATGCAGCAAGTTGGTTCTTTTTGACCACAGATATGTGTCAATTTTTTCTAAGATTCCATGAACAATAATCCTGTTTTGAAATAAACAAGTCTTCGTAAGTGAAATAGTAAACAAAACTGAAATAAGTCAGCTATTTTGAATTAGAACATGAATCAAAAGATATGATGTATAATGTTGATGAAAAGATTGATTGTGATTGGTTAATGCGCATGTATGTCAGAGACATGGCTCTAAAACAGCATTTGTATTCGGCCATTTTGAATCTGATCTAAAAAACATTAGGGTCCTGTTATATATATATATTCAATGTATATACCTAGATGGACAATAGCTGACTGTATGAACAAGATTCTAATCTGGAATGGCAAAAATGCTTGATTTTAATGAATTTTTTACATAAAAATTGCCACTATTTGGCCTTGAATCATATCATATCATGAAATAAATGATATGCAGAAGTCCAATAAACTCTTTGCATGCAACAATAAACCAGGTAGTGTCTAAGTAACAAGATTTGTAACAAGTACTGATCTTTAAATTCATGGAGAAAAAATGATAAGCACATGAAGCCCATTTTTAATATCCTGTCTTGTGAACACAATCAGTCAAAAGAGGTCAAAGAAAGGACGAAAGACTCGAACCTACACTAACAGTTTTTGGAAAGAAATTGAAATATAAGATAAGTACTGGCAACTTTAATTACTGTTACTGATAATATACAAGTGAGTTTCTTACCTTTGATGATAGTCTATTGTTGCTGAGAAAATACAGTTTTGAAAAAATTCTACAGAAAGTGAATTTTCAGGTACTTGTACTTGTTGTAATAATTCCAGAGACGTCTGTATCCCGGTATATTTGACTAATAACTCGGCTAAACTCTGCCAGGTTAGTGTGCGATTCACAACTTGGTTGGATGTTAGTAGCGTAGTTCCACAATGTAAACAGACATACTTCCAAGCATTGTCATTGTCTGTCTGGTACATCTTTTGGAATAATTCAAGAATTAATTTCCATTCTACCGATGATAAGGATATTTCTGTAAAATCAAGATAACCAAAATCTATGAAACTACAGCAATCCCTGTAATCCGTGTAGCACAAAAATCAAGTTATATCACAAATCTCAAAATAAAACCAAAATGTTACAGACGGCAACTGGTGATTAAGGATGTCCATTTTGTCCAAAATAAACAAAAAAAGTTACAGAAAAATACATGAAAATGGGCAAAATGTAGCACCCAAATTGTGACCAAAGTTAAAATTCATATGAATACTCTAATATGTACATAGTGCCCAGAATGCCTCGATGGGTGAGACCCAGATTATTCAGAAATCTGAATATAAACAGAAATAGCTGGATTTATAAAGTTGTAGCAATGCATGATATGCGAGTCATGTGAACCAATCAAAAAACGGTTAAACATAAACATAAACTGGTTAGAATCTCGTTGATGAGTTGTTCCAGCAGTGCATGGCAGGATGACATGAAAAATGTTTTATGTTTACAATCTACTCACCTGTGAGGAGATGGTGTACAAGATGAACGTCTGCTAGCTGTACAATATACGACAACCAATCCGTCTTGGACAGATTATGTCTGCTTAAGGTGATAAAGCCAAACCAATAACTGAAATAAAGTTATGAATTAACGTATTAATGTATTACTTTTTTTAACATAACCCATTCCAAAAAGGAAAGCTTCACATCGGCCACACTCGAACACAACTGAATCTACGGAAATATAAGCATTTGGTAAATGGTATATACAACTCATAGACCAAAAGATATCAACAATATACAGTGAAGGGCATAAAACTGGGGTCGTTATAAACGTTTTATGAATATATATTTTTATAAATCAAAATGAATGTTAGAATTTAAATTGACCAATCCAGAAAGAGTATTGAGACATTATTATGTGATCAGCAATCACCTCATTTTGAAAGTGGGTGGTGACATGTTTCTATGTCATGTGAAGGCACGAGCACACAATATGGACATAGCTAATTATTCGTATTCACAATTTTTTATAAATATGTTTATATAGTACAAAGGTAAAGCTGTGTACCTTTCACTGTATCCAGTAATACAACTCTAAAATCAAAGTCTCCACATTCCTTTCTATAACTCAAACATAGTATCAAAATAACCAATTTCAGTTTTAAACAGCCAGGACTCTGATTGTCAAACGAGTATTGAAAGATATTGCTCTGGAACAGCATTAATTAAAACAAAATCAGCCATTTTGAATACATGTATAATGAATATACAAAATTTGAACATAATCACTCAAAGCC